GATGAAGTCTGTTTACAAGATATATAAGTGCATCCCAGTGATGAAGTCTCAGCTTATAAACCAGAATTTATAGTTTTCAAAAGGGTACTAATAAGTGGAAACCATGTTGATAAAATATTTCACCAGAGAAAGCTGACCTTACCCGCCCCAGGAAAATTTCTTAACCTATGTGTTAGTTCTGGCCAGAAGAAGCTTATAAAAATAACAAAGTCCAAAGGAAATTTTACTTGAAGTTCCTACTTCTAATCATAGTGCCAGTTTTTAGCCAAGCCAATTTCTGCAGCAGTTTTCATAACAAGTTTGTCTAAAGGTGTCTGCTCAGAATTTGAAGTTGTAAATTAAAAGGTTTTCCTGTTATTTTTTGGAGGGAAGATGCAGGGAGAGGGGTAGGCTGTTGCTGCTTCCTCCGCCTGCTTGGAAAGAATCTTTCTTAGCCATTCATATTGGCCCATAGTTTAGTTTATTCGCATGTTGAGTCCACACACATTTGTTATATATTGAGCATCGTGTTAGGGTATCAGGGATAGAGATGTAAAAGAAGTACACCGTCTAGAGATGACAACAGTGAAATAAACAGGTAATTCTAATATTTTGTTTTATGTGGCACAAGAAGATGCCCTTAGCCCTATTTGAGGGGTGGTGTGGGCAGGGTAGGGAGCGTGTTCCAGGAGAGGCATGTACAGGTGTCATGGATAACCAACAGCCAGGAAGATGTAAACGTTTAACAGCTACAAATGCTGCTTTTCCAGAGAGAGAGAGCTCCTAAAATTGTCCAGCCACAGAAAAGTTTTTCTATCTTTAGAAAATTCTGGTTCTAAAGTGATCTTTCATTGATCTTGCAAACAATAATTGCAAGTTGGAGGAAATCCCTTTGCTCATCCATGCTTGTTGTATGTAACAGGTAAGCCTGTGCCACAACACTGAGATCTGGATAAGGTACTTAAGTTCTCTGGGCATATAGCATCACCCATTAAATGGGATTAATTATGTTGATCTCACTGGATTATTGGGAGGTTCATGTGAGATCACTTGTGTGGTCCATTCCCCAGCCCCACCCTCTCTTTTTATTTAGTAAATCTTCATTGTATTAATTATTTTCATCTTAACAAATATACAGCATCCACTCCTCACCTTCTGTTAGCTTTCAGTTGAGGTCAGTTCCTCTTATGTAATGTTGCCCTAAACATCCCCCGAAGTCAGAGATCTTTTCCTTTCTAGTTGTTCCCGCCGCCTCCCTTCTGTGTTGCTGCTAAAGCTTTTCCTGCCATGCTCATTTTGAAGGAAAATCGTGTACACCACAGAGCTTGTGTGAGGAAAGCCGTTGTAAATTAGGACAATTGATCTATTAGAGTGGGGAAATGGAAGAGATTCTGAATGCTCCATTTGTAACTTCAAAACCCAGGTTTCATTTCTTAACAGAATTGACGTCCTGCATTGGGCGGGAGGGAGGATCAGTGGTTGCGTAGTTCGAGAAGATTCTGTGATTGAGCGTCGTCAGGCAAGACCGTCTCATGCTTCAGTACTTTATTCATTCATCCAGCTTGCTCTGCACCTGCCTCCTTTGGCGTGGTTTTTGTTCTGGACTGTATCACTCTGAACTGGTGGTCGTCAGGAGGGAATGTGATGTGGTCTCATCTCTTTCTCAGTGGCAGCTCCTTCCCTGCATTAGGGATGCAAGCTTGTCAGTGACACTCTCACCTGTTCAGCTTTTCTTTTACTGAGCTTCTTGGTAGCCCCTCTCTTACTCTTCTCCTTTGTGGGATGTCCCTTTTGTTTTGTTTTGTTTTCTTTTCTTTTCTTGTCTTGTCTTCCTGTAGCACCTTGTTTATATAGTGAAAAGAGCCTTTAAAGAGTAGACAGAACTAGTTTGCTCTGACTCTTTTACTGTTTTAATTTGGGATCATCCAAAAGCTCCAGGTCTAGTGGTTTTCAATCCTGGCTTCACTTTGGAATCACTCAGGGAGGTAAAAAATATCCCAGGCCTCACCCAGACTCCGTATACCAGAAATTTCTAGGGGATGACCTAGGCATCAGGATGCTTTAAAAAGCTCTCCAGGTGATTCCAATGTACAGCCAGTGTTGGAAACCAAGGTTTAGGCTTAAACTAAAGGAGACGTTGTACAATTTTGCTCATTCTTTTTCTGACTCATTTTCTACTTTAAAAAAAAACTACAGAGGGTCACATGTATTAGCAACATGTGTATCTTCAAAACAGGGATGTGATTGGTAACTGTTGATTGGACCCTTAAAGTTTCTGATGGTTTGGAAGGGGCTCTGCCAAATGGGTTTAGGGATAGAGGTGGTAGAGCAAGAGAGTATGGACGGAAGCATATGCATCTCTCGTGATTACTAGAAAAATAAAAACTAAAATGCTTTGCTGCTTCTGCTATCAGGTCATGTTCTCATAGCCAGTGAAGTGATAGTATACATGTGCCTAGTGAGTGGCCTGCATTTTGCATACGTTTAGCTCTTTTAATCTTTTTTTTTTTTTTTTTTTTGAGACAGAGTCTCACTGTGTTGCCCGGGCTAGAGTGCCGTGGCGTCAGCCTA